GGACAGTGAGGCGGAAGCAAGCGAGAGGATAGAGGACGCCATCTAAATCCACGCAAGAAGAAATAAGCTCAGGAATGGAGCAAACAGAAAATCAATGAAACTCGGATCAATAACAATGGAGATCGGAGTTCGCAGAGAGGATGAGGGGAGAGAGTAGGCAATGGGTGACTTCGCAGCAACACGGCGCTCGTCGGATCTCTACTCTGTGTTGTGGCTGAAATGGTAATTCTGGTTGCATGAGAAGGAGAGAATGGACTACTGAATTTATGGATTGCATTCGTGTCTTAAAATGAAGCCACGTGTCCGGGACTTGGACTTTATCCGCAACAATTATTCTCATTTAAAATTCATAAACCTTTTAATTTAATTTATCATTTTCTAAAACGGATTTAAGCCATTTCCAAGGGTAGTTTTGTATTTAACTATCAAACTATTACATTTTTTAATATATAAAAATATTATTTTTTAGTCCAATTTAAAGATATACCCTTTACTTAGTTTACAAATATAAAATTTAATTCAATTATCTTAGAAATTTCATAACATGGTGAGAAAAAAAAAAGAATTTAAAGAGGACAACAAAACATTATTTATAACGGTGTGAAAATCTCTTCCTCTTCTTGAGGTGTTTTATAACTATGAGATTGACAGTGCTACATAGAGTCAAAACGGACAATATCTAGTAACGATAGATTGGACTATTACAAATGCCATCAAAGTATATTAGTAAGGACACTAGTCTCCCAAAAAGGGATAATTGTGAAATCCCACATTGGTTGAGAAAAAAGAAAACGAAATATTTCTAATAAGAATGTAAAAACCTCTCTAGTAGCCGCATTTTAAAACCTTCTGTAAGGAAAATCCTAAAGAAACAATATTTGGATTTGAGATGTTACATGAAAAGTGACTAGACTTGGCATTTGCTAAAGCCTGTAAATTTAGTTCTCACTTGGGAACTCCAAAGGCCATTACAACCTTATTTCTATGTTGTTCATCACATGAAGAGACATATGGCGACACGTCAAATTACTAATAGCTTGAAAGTCAATTTTGTTCTTAAGAAATGAAACTTAAAAATTTGAAAATGGACAGTTATGTTTATGATCACTGATCTGATAGAAACTAAGCATGAAATGTAGTGAAGAGTTCCGGACACAGACAGAAAGTGAATGAATGTTCATGAATCAAAATCAAAGTTCCAACATAGAGGAAGAGATTTAACAACTAAATCCATACAACACACTTGTAGGAGTTAATTTGTTCAGATACGCAGCTAATGCACCCAGTCAATCGATGATCTAGTAGAGATACTAAACTCATCTCATCCACCTGAATACTTCAATGATCAAAGGCCATAATAAAACTCTGCACTAGCGTTAGAAGAAATAGCACCAAACTGAACTAAACCAACACGAATTAACTTCCGAATTGACATCACTCCAGATATAAATTTAACATAGAAGTAGCCCTAAAGACTACTCGAGATTCTCTTCGATAAATTCTTAATTGAGAGGCAAAAATTCAAACATCTAGCTCTATATTCTCTGTCTTCTCCACTACTAACGCTTAATTAGGATCAAAACAATTTCCAAGGATGAAGAGAAAATCACATGCAAAACACCTCAGAATCCGAGCTTAGTGCGGCGCCAGTGCCTTCGCTTCGCATTGTACCTGAAATATACATCAAAATGCAGCGTTAGATTTTGAAATGAGAAATAATGAAACGAGAACATTGAGTAAAAGAAAACGGAAGAGTAGAGACCTGATGGTATTGTCAGTCCTGAGACGGATCCAGTGAGGAATAGGCCTGTTCTGTCTCATCTTCTTCGCCAACTTCTTCTTGATTCTGAAGGTCTTGTGCGACGGCTGCGCACGTTTAAGAAAATCAACCGGAAGTGTAATGCACAATAAATCCAAAGCGAGAAAACAAAACGGAAATCAGTACAAGGAAGAACCAGTTACCATCTTGGAGAATCGAGAACCGGCTGCGAGGGCTACGAACAGAAAACAAGAAACAGAAACCCTAATTTCAGAGAAAACGAGCGAAAGAGGAGATGAGCACTTTATGTGGACCGCCAGCACAACATTGCTCGGTCCTAGGCAATCCCCAAGTCCATTTCGTCGACGGACAATGTAAATGGGCTGGTCCAGAAAGGCCTTTTTGAGCCTCCCTAAACAATTTTAAAGTCATGTTTAAGAGGTTAATATTCTTAATTTTATATTTAAAAAGTCTTTATATTATTAACTCAATAATAATGGATAATAATAACGATATTGTCCAGTGGGAGTCCCGACTCTTTTCTTCGGAGTCCTTAAACAAAGTACACCATTTGTTCAACACTTGAGGATCCTTTTGACATAGCTCTAATTCTCCATAATGGTATGATATTGTCCACTTTGAACATAAACTCTCGTACCAATAGAGACGTATTATTTACTTATAATAATAATAATAAATAAATAAATAAATATCCGCTTCACATGGAGCAGGGAGCAAACTCCGAAATTATCTGCTAATTAATGATTTAATTATTAGAGAATTAAAAAATTATAATAGCTATGATTTTAGTAAAGAAATTCCGAAGTATCCTTAAAATAAATAAATAAAAGAGTTATTTAATTAATGGTTTTAAGTTATTGAAGCTAATTATTTTATTCCAATTTTCTCCCTCGTCCATGTTAAAACTGTTGACTCTCAGGCAGTCGAAGCACGTGCTTGAGCTTGACTATTTTGTCCAATCTCATTTAATTACTTTCCAATAATCCAAGTATTTATTTATTTATTTTATTTATTTATCTACCTTAATAATCAACTCATTTATATTTTAAATTTCACAGTAATTAATATTCAAATTTTACGAGCATCCAGAAGGATGACGTTGATGGCCATTAAATTCAATCCCCTTCAATGCGTTACTCTTCAGCAACCGCGTCATTAAAAAAATAAAAATAAAATAAAAAACCTGATTTTCTCAGCGAGATTGGTGTTGGAGTGACGCAATAAAAACAAGCCAATTGAGCCACAAGCTTACAAACGCCTGTGAACCATTGAACAAAATCCCGTCACTTTTGTTTCTTCTGCGTTCGATTCTTCATGTGATATCTCGAGTCGAGATACTAAACCAATTTGACATCGACTCGATATATCCATACTGCACATTATTTCTGTTCATAATTTAACACGTCATTTAATAATATATTATGATAATTAACGTTGTGTGTATATTTAAAGCATAGAATTAATTAAATTTGATAAGAGAAAGGACAAATTTGGGATGATCACCCATGTTGTGTGTTGGGCCCACATTACGCGTTTTGTATAGAAATAGGTTAATATAAAATTTTATTAATTCTTATTTTATTATATAGTTTTGGTGGGTCCAAATGATTGCATAAATCTACCCTTTTTGACCTCTTTTTAATTCATTTAACAAATTAATCTTCCATTTTAGCTGTCAACCAAACTTAACCATATTTACACACACTCCCCATTTACAACCAACCCTCCAACTTCTTCTTTTTACATTCTAACCCCTCCAATTCTCCGAATTTAATTAACGACCCCTCGCTTATTTAAATTCATTAGCAATTAAAATATCATATTAAAAAATCAAGCTGATTTAAATATAAATTTAATTTTTTTTTTTAATAGAGTTATAGTTAGGTTCATTTGATTTGGACAAGATAGAAAACGAGGGAAGAGTACAAGAAATTATAAACAAATTACTTAAAAGAAGAGACGTTGTTTGTTTATTTGTTTGTATGTATGGTGTCCCTACCGCACATGGTCTTATTAAATTTTTATGTAATGTAACGTAAATTAAGAGTTTGAGAATATGATGGACGTTCGATGTATAATATATATAAGAAAACAAATCTTTGTCATGGATCTACTAAGCTTATAAAGTCATTCTCTAACAAATATAAGTTTCCAAAATTAAATATTTTTGCTATCTTTTGTGGCATCAAACTCTCCATAACTTGATTAAATAATGCTATTTATAAACCAACTACAATTTATTATAGTGAAAAAGGGAACCATAACGCCTGAAATTGGAGTTGTTTGTCTCTCTTGGATCAAGAGGATGATGAGTTTGATACGCGAGTCAACCTAAACACGAATCAGACAAACATGTTGTAAATCAAAAGGTCAATGATTCGAATTTTGACTTTCACGTACGTGTTGAACACCCACGTATGAGAATTTATCATTACCGTGGTTGTATCGTATTGTAATAGTCCAAGTTCATTGTTAGCAAATATTATTGGTTTTGGTCTGTTACCTATCATTATCGGTCTCATGGTTTTAAAGCACGTATGTTAGGGAGAGGTTTCCACACTCTTGTGAGGGATGTTTCGTTCCCCTCTCCAACTGATGTGGGATCTCACAATACACCCTCGTTGGGGGCCTATGTCTGGCTCGGATACCATTTGTAACAGCACAAGCTCACTATTAGCAAATATTGTCAGTTTTAGCCCATTACGTATCACCGTAAATCTCAGGATTTTAAAATGCGTCTAGGAGAGGTTTCCACACTTTTATGGGGGATGTTTCGTTCTCCTCTCGAATTGACGTGGGATTTCATAATCCACCCCCGTTAGAGGCTAGCGTCTGTCTCTGATACCATTTGTAATAGCACAAGCCCACTACTAACAAATATTGTCAGCTTTAGCCCATTACATATCACCGTTAGCCTTAGGATTTTAAAATGCGCCTATGAGAGGTTTCCACACTCTTATAAGAAATGCTTCGTTCCCCCTCTCTAACTGATGTGGGATCTCTCGACGGTGTGCCAGCGTGGACGCTGGACCTCCGGGGATGGATTGTATATGGAAATGGAAAGTTGGTGGTTAGAGTTTGGTAGATAGAAGAAGAAATTTGGATTTATAGGCACATGGGGGAAGAGGGAGAGAATGGGGGGAATGGGAATAATTGTAAAGCAGAGGAAGTGATTCCCAGATGGGCTATGTTTGCAGTTGCAGAAACATGGTGCGAGGTTCAATACATGTGCAACCATTTTCCGCCCATTCCCCCAACCATATTGGCCTCTTATAATGCATTCTAGTTTGCCCTTAAAAACTCCACTTCCAAAACCCATATAACAAAGGTTGAACATTTGTTTTGTAGCGACCAAAATCTATTCGAATTTGGTGATCATGTGAATAAAATTTGGTGAGTTTGAAATAACCCTTCACCTATAATATATATTATTCAATATTCTTCACATGCATTAGCAACCAGCCCAACTGCTAACTACTGGGGGGCATAGCTCTATAGCCACCCTGTGGGACCGATCAATATTGACCCAAATTGCTTGCCAGTGCAGTCTTTGGAAAATGCCCATCAATTTCTCTACTTAAACCCCCTCTTCCCACTTCCATTCACAACCTCTCGCTCTCCGCTCACCATGCCCAGACCACAACAAAGATTCCGCGGCGTCCGACAGCGCCATTGGGGCTCATGGGTCTCCGAAATTCGCCATCCTTTATTGTAAGTCCATTCTCCTAGCTTTAAAGTAACTCCATTCGCCATCCTTTTTGTTCACTGATTTTTGTTCATACAGGAAGACTAGAATTTGGTTGGGCACGTTCGAGACGGCCGAAGACGCAGCGCGCGCATACGACGAGGCCGCGCGCCTCATGTGCGGGCCGAGGGCGCGCACTAACTTCCCTTACGACGCCTCTCTGTCCCGCTCCTCATCTTCCCGCCTTCTCTCGGCTACTCTAACCGCCAAGCTTCACCGCTGCTACATGGCGTCCTTGCAACTCACCAAGCAATCCTCCTCTGCCGCACGTCGCCCTCAAACCGACACAATCCGAACCGATTTTTCCGTGACATCCGGCATTGCTCCCGTCGGTGTGGAAACCGACGTGACGTCAACGAAGAAAGTCAAACTAGAGAGCGTGGATCGCGGTGAGCCGTTGGATGATGATCATATTCAGCAGATGATCGATGAGCTGCTTGATTACGGCGGAATTGAGCTCCGTTCCGCCGCCGGACTGCAGGCTCAGCCCATTTGACATTCAACCATAAATCTCCGCCTCTAATTATGTACAAAATATCAATTAATTTAGCTAATTTAATTAACGACCCGACTTTTGATCATTTGAGGTCATTATTTCCTCTTGGCCAACCCAGATTTGTTTCTCTCTGGTTTGGCCAATTGAGTGGCGGCGCCCCCATTTTATTTCATGTACCATTTTCCATTACATAATTAGTATTAAATCCCTATAATTTCATATTAATCTCATAATTAACCGATTAATCTTTTCTTCTTTTTCCTGAGAAATCACCGTCAATGTGCACCAAAGTCAAGCTCTGCAATTCCGTACATTACCTCTAGACTTTTTAAACATACATTCAAATTTGAATTAATGTAAATATTTGGATTTCTTTTATAAAAAAAAATCCTAATAAATATAAAAATAAGGTAAGTTTCTTGAAACGACATGGAACATTATACAAAACTCTTCTAGCGTCGTCGAGTGTGTAAGACGGCTCTAAATTAATTAATCAAGATTTCCGACTTTTCTTCTGTTCTTTTTCTCTTTAGAAAAGTTACACAGTTATAACCTAATCTATAAAGTTCTTTTTATAAATAATTCATTTTTCAAACAAAATTATTAATATATTATTCTCTAAAACTATATAAATGAACTGAGATCATATTTGAATGAGAGCGATCATAAGAATATGATAAATAAAATAAAAGTTACTGTCTATACCAACAAAGTATATAGATTTTGTCTTAAAATTTTGTGATTTTTTTTTTAAGGACCCCACTTTATTTTATTAATAAATTAAATAACTTAAAAGGACAATGAGAAAAACAGGGTAGAAATTCACATGATTTTTTTTTTTTTTTTTAATCTAAAGAACTAAAAAGGGGAAGGATTTAGCCGTTATGGATGCTAGCTAGCTCACACATCATCATTAACCATTATTAACCTCTCTATTAACTTTACATTTTGACTTAATCATTTTTTTACAGTTAAATCTTTAATGATTTGTCACGTTTAAAGTTAAAAATTTTAATATATAAATTATGATGATACGACGTAGTATTAATATTTTTTTATTTCATAATTTTTTTTCTATGGGAGATATTTCACAATCACTAGCTAATTGGAATGATTAATGTTTAGGGAAAAAGGATGAAGCCGTGAAAGAGCAGTTGGGATCTGTGGTTGGGAAAAAGGTGACGGACAAATGAGAAAGGGCCACGTCATCAAATGTCGCGTCAGTCAAACGCCCTAAATCAACGGGCTTGTGGGATAACGAGCTGCCATGGGCTTCACGGATCGCTACAATGGACAATTAATTGGACTGGAGTAGGTACAAACTTGGGCCCAATTTTCGTAGTTTGATACCCGTGGGGCCCTTCATCCTAATGCTGCCACGTGTGATTCAACTACTTTTTTAAATTGTTTTTTACTTTCAATTTCTTATTTAATTGAATTTTGTCGTTGATTTCGTCCGTTTAAGATTTGTGGGGAGATATTTGAAATCAATTTATCACGTCATAATTAATTAATTCATAAACCTTTTTTAAAATTATAAAGAAATCAATAGTAAAAACATTTTATTTTAAAAATTTGTGTTGATTTAAATTTAATTTTATTAGACATGAAATTCAAATTTACCTCTAATAAATCAATTATTTTTAATTTGGTAAATAACTGTTAAGAATTTATTATATATAAAATTAAATGATAAAAATCTATTATTTGTATAGCCCTTATAAATAATGATTCATTGGCCTCTGTAACTAACTGTGTTTACTTTGTAACTGATTGGGTTTACACACCCTTTTAAATAAAAATAATGATTCTATGATTCATTCACCTCTGTACGGACTGAGATCTCACAATGCACTGACTGTCTCTACTATGTAACTAAGCACTAACTGGGTCTACTTTGTAACTGACAGGGTTTACTCTATAACTGACTGAGACTAACAAGGTTTGCTCTTTACTGATTGGGTTTGCTCTGTAACTGACTGGGTTTACACACCCTCATAAATAATGATTCATTCACCTCTGTAACTGTCTGGGATCTCACAATGCACCCTCTTTTGAGGCCAGTGCTTGGCTCTAATACCATTTGTAACCGCTCAATCCCACCATTAACAAATATTGTCCTATTTGAATCTTCTCTTAAGGTTACCCTCAAAATTTTAAAACACGGTCTACGGCACGGACCTAGTTAACATAAAATTAAAACATTTTAGAACGTAATAAACATAATTAAAAATACATAAATTAAATAAAATAGAATTTTAAAATTTAAATTTTAATCGAATGTAAATATATTTGAAGTATATAGTATATATTAATTAAAAAAAAGCATATTGTAAAAAATAAAATGAATATTTTTTTGTAGTTCCCGAAACCCTAAGCAAAGAAAAAGCCAAAATTCGCGACGACTTTTGTGGAAGAGAAAATTTGCCGGATTAGGGAAGGGAACTCAAGCGGACGCCCCGATGAACTATCTATGCTCCCTTTTTAAAAGTTTTGGGAAATTAAAAAAACAAAATAAAAATAAACCCAATATTCACATTATTTATTTATTAACCTTATCACTACTCATTTATCATAGCATAATTTTGTATTAATTAACATAAAATATTTTAAATCATAGAATTTCGAGTACAAATATATAATAATTTCAAAATAATCTAAATTAATCCCTCGTTGATTCACCATTGATGTGATATGCTGGGCAAAATAATAATAATAATAATAATCATGATTAATTTCTATTAACAATAATTTTAATTTTAATCCCCACAATAGAGAAAGAATCTCAATGATTGTTCATGTTTGAAGCCCACAATTTTTGAATATATATATATATATAAAGGAGATTTGCTTTTTTATTTTCTTTAAAATCCCAAAAAAAAAAGAAAAAAAACAACCTCAAAACCCATTGTGTAAAAATTGAAATAGACAACACAATAATTATATGTCATAATTGTTGCCACTTTTCTTGGGCTGGTTTTGGTTCATAACATTTGCCTTCAATTCCCCTCTTATTTATCAAACTACTCCTTATTTCTCTTTCAGGCATTTTCACAAACACCTTTCGCTCACTTTAAAGAACTAAGACAACGATAACCCACTACCCATGGCCAGGCCTCAACAGCGTTATCGAGGCGTTCGTCAAAGGCATTGGGGCTCATGGGTGTCCGAGATTCGTCACCCTTTACTGTAAAACCCCATATATTATCTTATTTTCTTGCACCCATTTGCTTAAATTTTCTTACCTTGCTCTCTGTTTTGCAGGAAAACCAGAATTTGGCTGGGCACGTTCGAAACGGCTGAGGACGCTGCCAGAGCCTACGATGAAGCTGCTCGCCTAATGTGCGGTCCTCGTGCCAGAACCAATTTCCCTTTCAACGCAAATGACTCCAATTCCTCTTCTTCTAAGCTCCTCTCTGCTAATTTGACCGCCAAACTCCACCGCTGCTACATGGCGTCGCTTCATTTGACCAACCCATTGCCGCAGAAACCCGCCGAGAAGAAAAGGGCGGTGAAAATGACACAAATGGAGACTGCCCATCAGCCGTTTGTGGCTCTGGAAGAGGACCACATTGAACAGATGATCGAGGAGTTGATTCATTATGGGTCTGTTGAGCTCTGCTCTGTTGTACCGCCGCCGCCGCCGCCGCCTCAGCCGTTTTGATATTAATTTTTAATTTTAAAACCCCATTTTGCTCCAACTTTTTGGGGATTATATATATATATATATATATATTGTTAGTAGCATAGTGGATAATTAGCTCCACCTTAATCTGTATAATCTCATTATCTTAATGTACTACTACCTCCACATATATATATATATATATATATTTAGCTTATCTTATATTAAAAATGATGACATTTCTAAAATTGATATCTTTTAAATCGACCATGGTGTATGTATATGATACTGGATATGACGTCGGTTTTGAATTGATATCATGACTAAGTGCCATCATATAAATTTGATATTAGTGGTAAACTAATATCATATCATATTTGTATATTTGCATCTGAAATTGATATCATATGGTATGAACATATTGTAAACATAAAAGTTGGTTGATAGCAATGGAAGTCTGAAACTGAAAGCCGGAAAATACCAAATGATGCACTTTCATTTTGTACTTTTTATTTTATTCCTTTCTAATCAACCAATGAATTGGACAAATGGGTATCTATTTCAGTTTCCATCAATCATTTATATCATTTCACACCATTGTTTGCTAATCATATCAAAATCAAATTACAAATTAAAAACCACTATATATCTCGGTCAAAATTCACTCTCGAGAAAGCTCGTTCTAATGAGAAATTGTGCATTCAAGTCGTGTCAATTTCAAGAAATTCTGTGAGATCCCATATCGATTAGAGAGAGGAATGAATGCTGACGAAGATGTTGAGCTCCGAAGGGGGCGGACACCTGGTGGTGTGCTAGTAAGGATGCTGGGCCCTGAAGGAGGTGGACACTAGGGGGTGTGCCAGCCATGATGCCGGGATTCGAATGGGGGTGGATTGTGTGACCCCACATTGATTGGACAGAGAAATGAGTCATTCTTTATAAGGGTGTGGAAACCTCCTCGTAACAAAAGCGTTTTAAAAGCTTTGAGGGAAAGCTCGAAAGAAAAAGTCGAAAGAAAACAATATTTGGTTGCAGTAAATTTGAACGGTTACATACAGGAACGCTGGGAGAATGATATGTATAAGTATACGAATAATTGATATGGTACGTGAGCGATGAGAGAAAATAAGAATGGAAAGGATAAATTGATGATGATGGGTGAGAGTATGTTTGGGAATTGATGATTTTGTTCCCCACAAACAACAATGAATAAAGGGGTTTTGTTTTTTGTTTGGAGGAAAGGGGTTTTCATTATTATTTTGCATCTGTTTTGGGTCACTTAAAGCTATGCCCTTTTATCATGCCATGTTAGTGAGTTCATCATCATTGGTAGTTTGAAAATCTATGAAACAACAAATAAAAGAGTTTCCCACATTTGGTACTCTTTTTCTCTCACTTCCAAAGTCACACATGTCCCATCACACCCCTCCTTCAATCTCCATAAACAACCCGAGCTTCCTAAAAAATATGACTAAAGTGGTAAGATCTTACATCGATTAGAGAGGGAACGAGCGCCAATAAAGACAGTGGCCCCCCGAAAAGAGGTGCATTGTGAGATCCCATATTGGTTGGTGTAACGACCCAGATCCACCGCGAGTAGATATTGTCCTCTTTGGGTTTTCCCTTCCGGGCTTCCCCTCAAGACTTTAAAACGCGTTTACTAGGGGAAGGTTTCCACACCCTTATAAATGGTGATTTGTTCTCCTCTCTGACCAATGTGGGACATCACAATCCACCCCCCCCCCTTCGGGGCCCAGTGTCCTCGATGACACTCTTTCCTTCCTCCAATGGATGTGGGACTGCCCCCAAATCCATCCCCCTTACTGGCACACCGCCTCGTTTCTACCCACTTCGGGGAACAGTGAGAACGCTGGCACGTCGTCTGGTGTCTGGCTATGATACCATTTTTGTAACGACCCACAACCAATGTGGGACATCACAGTTGGAGAGGAGAACGAGTGCCAGCGAAGATATTAGGCCACAAAAGGAGGTAAAGTGTGAGATTTCACATTAATTGGAGAGGAGAACGAGTACCCAACGTCTGGGTCGTGAAAATCCACATCGGTTAATGCGTTGAAAATGAGAACGAAATATTGTTTATAAGGACGTGGAGTGGGTGAGAGGTGGGAGTCAAAGTTTTTGGAGTAAAAAAGGTAAAGAAAGGAGAAAGGCAGTCAAACACAATGATGGGGCAGACAATCATGGCGTGCCTATAGAATCTCATGCATCGCCACTCCTCCCGATCTTCAATCATATTTCTCTCCTTTTATTATTATTTTAAATTCTCAATATTTATTTATTAATTTGAATATATTTTGTTGAATTAATTTAAAAAGAAAAAAAGGTGAGGACAAAAAGAATAGAGAAAGTGACAAAAAGGGAGATAAGGGATGTTCTGTTGTACTAACAACAACTTGTTCCTTTGTTTTCTTTTCAGTCCTTGTCGTGTTCGGGAATTATTCAAACCCCTGCCCTACTGCCCAACTGCCCGTCTCTTTCTTTAATTAATTTAATTTCTATTATATATATGGGCCAATGATTTGGGCCGGCCCAATCATTTAAAGGCCTGCTTTTCCACAGACCAATGCTTATGTTGTTGCAGATCGTGACCATTCTTCACTCTCCCATTCATCCTCCCAATGTCTCACCGGTCCTCCCCCTACGCCGCCTGCTTCCGCCAGTTCCGGTGCGGGTGTTCGACGACGAGAAGAACCACCGCCACGCCGTTTTCATGTCCAGATTCGACGGAGATGAAGAAGAATTCCGATATGGAGAAACAGAGACGACGTCGCTTCAGAGGAATGCGACGGTGCTCTGCTCCATCAACAATCACTCCACGTCGTCGTCGGTGGGTTCCTCCGGTGGAAGCTCCTCCATGCTCGACTGGGCTACCGTCATGGAATCCGAGCTCGGCGGCTGCCCATCTGAGCCACAACATCATCAAAGCTTCAAAACTGGTAATTTCCGTTGTTTTTTCTTGTTTCAAACATTAACACAGTAAAGATTAGAACAACCCATTATCAGAATTATTCAAGATTTTTAATAGATTGATCCAACATAGGAAGAAATTGGTCATATCTGTTCTTTCCCGATGAAATTACGATAAATAAATAAATAAATGAAAATTTAAATATATATATATATATTGTGTTGGTTGGTTGCCTTGCGTCTCGTATATGATGAGGTGTTAGAAGGAAACAAGATCTCTTGATTGTTGTGAAAGTGAATCAATCATCGTTTAGTCTGAAATGTGTCGGATTTGAAGAACAGTTTTAAAAAGACACGTGGCAGCATCGGAATGGTTTTTTATTTGGAATGGGAGAGCTGTGGAACCACGTGGCAGAGTTACATGTTTTCGAGGTTTGACTATTTGACCAAATTTATATTATTCTTAAAAAGAAAACCACATATTAAATTAAAAGATTCATTCATGGTTTTCTTATTTGAATCTTGTGTGTTAATTTGTAGAGTCATGTCAACGACGTAGTCATGTTCGTCATGTTAATAGAGTTTTCAAGTGTCGAATAAACAAGTTGTGAGCCTTGAAAATGTAGCTAACTAAAATTCATATCGATTTTAGATTTTTTTAAGAGATTAAATGGTAGCCATGGTTTTAGATCACATATTTTAAGCTACTCATGAATAACAAGCATGTTGAGGATTATTGAGAGGAGTAGTTTCGTATTGGCTAGTTAACAGGAATATGAGTTTATAAGTAAGAAACATTTTCTCCATTCATGTACAGTCTTTTGGAGAAATCAAAAGTAAAACCACAGAGAGCTTATGAGACAATATCATACCATTATAGAGGTTCGTGATTTCTAAGGAATCATCAAGAAACAGACCAAAAGGCAAGAACATAAAGCTAAAAGCATTAAAGGCTAGAAATGTTGCTCACCTTGTTATCGAAATGGTAGACACTGAGGCCAATCCAACCGTAGAGGATCGGAGTTCTGGACCAACCGTAGAGGATTCCAAAAGCCGGCGCGTGGTGAGGCGGTTTATGTACCATTGCGTGAACCTGAATTCCAATCGATCTGGACGGCGCCGCCGATGCGTAGTGGTGGTAGCCGCCAAATGCCGGAAGTCGTTGACCGCCTCTTTTAGCCAACGTTCTTTCTCGTTTATGGGCATTTTGATGGCCTCCAAGTGCTTGTGAGCAATAAAATTTCCTCCGACAGAAATTACACGAAAATACCCTCGGTTCCGGTAAACCCATTTTCAGGCCGCCGATGAGATTCAGCTCCTCCGCCGGAACCCCACGGCGGAGATGATGGTGGTTGTCGTCTTGTTCAGCAAAACCCTTCTGTAATTCATCATCGTGTTGCTCCTGGTTCTGCGACGAAGGTTTTGGAGGTGTCTCGGTCGTCGAAGACTTCCATTGATGAAAAATTGAACCTTTTTTTTTTTTTGTATAATTAGGCTTAATTTTTAATGGGTTGTTTGGAATTGAAACCGTGTATAAAAAGCTGGAGAAAAGAAGGGGATGGAAATAGAAACATCTCCCACATTAAAAATTACTCAGAATAAACAAAAAAGGGTTCGGGGTGGGACGGGGAATTGGACAGAAATGAGGATGGAGAATATAATCCTGTCTCCGAACTAACAGGAAAAAATGCTCTCACTCTTCCCATTTCCCGTCTAAACTAAGAATTTCTTCTCCATTCCGAGCAAGTCCCCGCAAATAAAAATGGACATCTCTGCTCGATCTCTTTTTTTTTTAAACAAAAGTTGGGATATTATGAGGACTTAACAGGAGCATTCTAACAGATGGCAAAAGTTAAGAACAGTTTCGTTCATTCATTATCAGCTAAATCTGAACGCTATAACTAAGAATGTGTTTGGCAAGGTGAAAAGCATACATGGGCAGAGAGTTTGGTACTTTTATTTACATGTTTCCTTAACATGTGTTTGAAGATTTGCCTGGTAATTCCCGGAGTAGCAGCTTGCTCGTGCCTCGCCACCATTACAAGAATCGACTCGCAGCACCTACAGAGGTGCCTGTGCATTATAGAGTCGTAGTCTGTCAAACATTCAACATAAGGTTCGGGCTCGAAGTAGACTCAACAGTGTCACACCAGTCAAGTCCCTCAGCTCAAAAATGCAGCAACCCACAATTGTCCCTCAGCCTACATGGTTCTAATTCCTATTCTACTGGAACTATGGCTCCTACTCTCTAAACTACACCCCCACTGCCTCCCTGACTCTCATCTCAAGTTATGGTATGGAAAGAATTTCTCAACTCTTGTCAATAAATCTAGGAAAGGGTAACTCGAAATACTGACCAGAAGAATCCGAAGCTTCCTCAATTCAAGACGGTGACCGGAAACGCCAAGTATTTGGCTTTCTTGACACTTGAAACTATGTCGATTCCCCTCACATGAAAACGAACGAGCTTTCAAAAGGATTCCTCCGTTTCACAGTCCCACTCTTCGTTTCAACTTGCTTAGGTCTCAGGCTGTTTACTGAAAGCCATTCAAGGACTGAAAAGGGTTAGATAGACCACAACGTCTTAATTTGAAATAATTTTTACTTTCATAGTCTCATTTCCATCTAACAATGGACATCGAGTTGTAGCAAAGGCATTGAATCTTATCAAATATTGATACCAAGTGAACTTCAAGATAAAGCTTAAAGAATGCTAACCAGACGAGAAAGGGGTGGGATAAGCAAGTTTTGGATTGATAACTTGAGCCAACCGCATCGAGTTCATAATAAGTACGAATCAAGCATGGCCGAAATAAGAGAATAACAAAAACTTAAGATACCTGAAGAAAAACAAACAAGGAAAAGACTTGAAACTCATTGTATAAGCCAAGGATATCTCAGTTTAGTGCACAAATACAAAGAAAAAAGATAAAGAACTGGTTACCTCTAAACTCCGTTCAAATACATGTATGGACAGTATCTTGGAATGTCACATGGGATCTATTTCTCCAAAAAAACTTGGAAGACTCAGATACATGCAGTTAGAGAAGGAAACAAATAAGCTCTCTACCAGAATTGCTCAGTAATAAGGTTTAAACAAGAACTCTGTTCATAAAAGTGAGAAGGGCTAATGGTTCTATCAACAATTGTCAGTGTTCGGTAAAGATAAAACTGCATCGACACGTACGAGGATAAAGGATCACATCAACAAGCCAGGCAAAGAAAATCAAATCACAGAGCTCACAGTTTTTGAGGAAATATGTTCTCTATTGCCACTACTATGTATTTATCCATCTATCTTTCACGTATAACAGTTTCAATGAATTGTAAGGCACATATAGCATAGCATCTAACCAAACAAGATCACTAACTTAAAGAGTGCCATTAAGGTTCTATTGAAACACTAGCTGCTATCTGCACTAATTTACAACATCATACAGAGACACCCATCAATGCTAATACTTGGTAAGTGTCTTCAATCAGTAGTCGGTTCATTTTCGACACCGAGACCATATAAAACACCGGCATATTTCTGTGTAGATCCACTGAAAAATGTATCCCTTAACTTCCTGAAAGTACAGGCAGTAAGGAGGCTATCTGATCCTGCTTGATGGCAAACTCCAACCCTCTCAATTTCTAATGTTTCTGCAACCTTGCTGAGCCCACCATAGATACTGTTGCAAAACTTCAACAAATGCTTGACATCATAAACCATTGGGAAATACGTACGGATCAAATAAAAAAACTCCTCCTGGGTGTCTGGTAAGATTTGGCAAGTCAACAGTTTCAGCAAGTACCCAAAATCATACCCGCTGTGGAACGTCACCCAGTAAACACTATCGTTTAAGACAATCCCGGATGACATGAGAAGCTCACTGAAGCGTCTGACATCAATACCTTCTTCTTTGTTCTTCTTGAAATCAATACCAGAGTCGCGCAAAAGCTGAATCGAATCAGTTGCATAAATATCTTCAGTAATGTTGAACTCGCGGAAATTGAATTGCCAAATGCAATACTTATCGGTACCACATGTTGGAAGATTCCCATTCTCTTCGGAAAAGGTAAGACCCAACTGAATCAAATTCAAAATGTCGACATTGTCTTTGAGGGTTCGGTAGTTAAACTCGTTGATATTCTTAAAAGTACCCACAGGGCGCAGAACCACGCCGGGGAATTCGGTATCCATCGCTATGTAGTTGAATTGGTCGACGACTTCACGTATTAAAGCAAACTCTGCCTCCAAGTTATGGTTCCACACCTCACGGATATAAATCGACTCAGCTTTCGGAAACGTCGACATACCTTGATTCTCTAACTGACCCAACAAAAATGGGAAAAACGGAAAAACCCTACCGCCAAAAATCCGGGGAAAAACACCTTCAGCCCTAAAAACCTGATGTACGGCCGTTCAATTAAAGAAGAAGGCACTTATGAAATCTTCCAAGATCTTGAAGATCTCGGAGACAAAAACCCCAGAGTGAAGCAAGAACCAGAAAAACAGAGTGAGGATCGAACCGTAGATAAAGAAGCGATTGAGCAAAAGGGGAAAACTCCTCAGAGTGGCGAAATCGGATAATCCGACCTTGAAAAGCAAAGATTAATGGCTGAAACAGAGCGATCTTGAAGCAGAGAAGTGTAGTGATTTTGTGAGCTTAGTCCAAGATGACGAATCTTGAAGTTTGTAAGAAATAATTCCTAGAAATTTGATTGTTTTTGTTGCGTCTTATTGTTATTATTTAATAAGTTTCTCAAACCCAATAAATATGTGCGTATTTTTACATTAAAATTTAGCTGCTAAACAAGCCCATTAATACAATTGGGCTTTGATATTTGGGCTTTCACAAATTTAACCGTGGGCTTCATGACAGGCCCAAGTCCACCAAAACCCGTTTGGAAAATACCATATTATTGTTTACTGAAAAACTTTAATCAATTTTTTTTAAAAAGAAAGAAATTAAAAAAGAAATCCTGAAATGGAGCCTATATGCGTCCCACGTCTTTAATTACTCAATTTGGGGCCCACGATTTAGACATAATCACTTCTAATCAATGATTAGCCTTTAAATTAAATAACTAACCAAATATATTTAAATTTAGTCATTTAAATTCTTAATTAAATTTTAAAAATAAAAATAAATTTTTTTAAACTATTTAAAAAATAAATAAATAAACTTTTTAAATCTAGGGTTAAATTTTTAAAAGCAGGAGGTGGATAACAAAATATAAAAACTAACAGTAATATTTTTATTTTTTATTTTTTAAAAATAAAAAAAATTAAGAGTCTAAACTTGAATCCTATCAATTAAAATCCAACCAAATCTAATACTCAAGTGATTTAAATCTCCGCCATATTATCCTCTTTTGAAAAAGAAAAGTGAGAAAAATCTCGTATCGGTTGGAGAAGGAATCGAAGCATTCCTTACAAGAGTATGGAAACTTCTCCCTAGTAGAGGCAAACCTTAAAGGAAAGCCCAAAGAAGACAATGTAATGAGCATAAGGGAAACCTCTCCCTAGGAC